GAATGAATTTGAATTTTGAAATTAATGATGATTAATTTAAAATTCAAAATAAAATTTGAACATGATTTTATTTGGCAACTAAAGGAGGGAGAGAGTTGATTTTATTTTTGGAAAATTCGGAAATTCCTTGGCAAGTGGAAATTTGGATTTTGATCCAAAAATGAAGGGGAAAATTCAGAAATCCCATATAGGGTTAAGTTTTCGAATTTCCTCCTATAAAGTGATATTATTGAAAACCCTAGTGGTGGCTAAGAAAAAGATATCTCACTCATATTCTCTCCTCTAGGGTGGTCGGATGTATTGAAAATAGAAGGAAAATTTGTTTCCTTAGGTTTTTAGAAAGAGCCCACTCTCTTCTCCCAAATACTAAGAGTCATAGCCTTGAATCAATGAGTGGTTGTTGGTGTGTTCATGTTCATAAATCAATGGTATTGTTTCACGGCAATTCTCCATCTCAGAACGTGAGATAGTGAGACAAGATCCTTGCGGCCATATTTGATCCAATCGTCTTAAAGGTATGATTGTCATTTTATTCCTTTGTCCATAAACATATATCATGCATGTACCTCTCGTTGTGATTTGTGTTTAATTTGGAATTAAAAGATATGTGAAAATTTTTTAAATTTCTGCCTACAAGTTTGTTGTTGTTTAAATGATTTTTCACTTAAAAATCACAACGTAATCCTACAACTGGTATCAGAACCTAGGTTTTGATCATGCATGATTTGTGTTTATGCGATTGGATTGTATGATATGTGTTGATATTGGCATCTTGCATGAATATGTGATGAATTCAAAATTGTTTTGAATATATTTATGATTGGATCCCGATCGATTGGCTCATTTTTTCCTCCTTTTTTACAATGAATTTTGAGTGGGATGTTCATTAGTTAAATTCTCTCTCCATTACATAATAAAATGTGTTAAGAATATATATTTCTCTTTTTTTTTTTTGGGAATAAGGAGGATCCAAACTTGGGACCTCAATCGGTTGACGTTATTATGGAACCATTTTTCAAAGTGTACAAGTAGAATATTCAGACATAAATTTTTGTATAAATTTTTGTATGTTTAACGTGTACCTTTTTTTGGTCAAGATAAAAAAAACGCGGCCCATACGCAACGCACAAGGGCTGCCTGGCTTGGCAGCCCATGCCGCGCAAGGCAGGGCCTGGCCCTGCCAAGGTAGAAAGGGTGGGCTCGGGATTGTCCCGAGCCCAGCCTAAATAAATAAATAAATGGTTTTTATTTAAATTTTGAATTTTAAATTTTTATTTTCTCTTTCTTCAAAACATTTTCCATTTCAGGGATTATGAAAGAGGAAAATTGTGAAGACGCCATGAAGACAAGATGAAGAATATTATTGTAATTTATTATCCATTTGTTTTATGAGTTGTAATTAGAAATGAGCCACAGAGAGGTTAAATTTTGAATGGATGATTTATTATTTAATCTCGCATCATTGCAAAACATTGCATATAGGATATAGTGATGCCAATATCAAATTTCCATGCGAACATGTTCATGCATCATTGTAGTTTAATATTATAAATTGTTATAATTATAAATGCAATGGGTAAATTTTGTAAAGTGTTATAAAATGCAACGACAAATTTATAAAGGTTATAATCTTGTTGACAAATTATTAATTGGACTTAATTTTTAAAAAACAAAATCCATTTTTCCAAAAAACTAAGTGGGAGGGTCGTTTGCGTTGAAACGTTCCCAAGGTCTCCGACTTTAGCATGATCGTGACATGTGGACGGGATAAGAGCCACCTTAGTGGTCCTCACTTTAATGGGAGAAACCCATGAAGCGTGTCGCTAAGGAGTCATCAAGTTGCTTGAGAAGATAAGACTCGAAAAGGAAGTAGTGAGGCGAGACCATCCCTAGATGGATCGTTAGTTCATAACAACCTCTAGAGTCGATTAGTCGGTTAAACACTTAGACTGAAGTCCATTGTAACCTCCTTTAGGAGCTAGGCAATGGGACTGAAGTGACCAAAAAGATGGTGATTGGTTGCACTGGATGTACAGACATCCTGTTAGGTGGACCAAACGAGAGGAGTCTCGATGCGATAGGAGGCTTCACGGACGCCACCCCTAGGTGGGACATGTTACCATTGATGATCATAACACCTTGGATGAAATATGTTTTTCAAAAGGATTTTTTTTCATATTTAAGTATTTGCATACATGCATCATACTTTTCCTAAATTTTAAGCAAATTGCCAATGCCTCTTTCATTTTATTTCTCAGCAATTATGTCTTTATCCCCGATCGCACAAATTCTTAGTACAAACAAACTAGTGGGTGAAAATTACGTTGACTGGAAACGTAACCTTGATATCGTGTTGATGGTAGGCAAGCACAAGCATGTGCTCACCACCCCCTGTCCTCTTGAGTCGACTGAGGAGTCTACTCAAGAGGAGCGAGACGCATACACTTCTTGGATGCGTTCTGATGAGATTGCTAGGTGCTACATTTTAGCATCAATTAGCAATGTGTTGCAGCAGCAACATCAGAACATGTTGACGGCTGTAGATATGATCTACAGCATTGCTGAAATGTTCGGCAGCCAGGGCCGTAAAGACAAGTAAGCTGCGGTGCGTAACTTCATGAACTGCTGAATGAAATCCGGCACTCCTGTTCGGGACCATATGCTACTGATCATTAGTCACCTAAATGAGATGGAGCTCATGGGAGCTGAGATAGATGGGGAGACTCAGGTGGATATGATCGTAGAGACTTTCCCGGAGATGTTCGACAACTTCAAGCTCAACTACTCAATGAATAAGTTGAACTATTCACTCCCTGAACTCATGAAGGAGCTTCAGACTGCGGAAACCCTACTGCTTAAAGGCAAAAAGAGGAATGGAGAGGTAAACCTTGCTGAAGCAAAGCCTTCCACCTCGGGCGCCAAGAAACAGAAGAAAAACCGCAACAAGAAGAAACTGGAAGGAAAAGCTGGAAAGGGCAAGAACGTTGCAAAGGTAGACAAGAGTAATGACAAATGTCACCATTGCGGAGTAGCTGGCCACTGGAAGCGCAACTGTCCTACTTACCTCAAGGAGGTTAAAGCTAAAGGTACATTACTAGTGACCAAAGCCTGTTTTGTGGCTGACTCTACTTTTTCTTGGATTGTAGACTCTGGAGCCACTAATCACGTTTGTTGTTCTCTGCAGGGGTTTAGGGAAAGCAAAAGGCTTAGCAAGGGCGAGTTTAACTTTCGCTGGGGGAACGAAGCATCAATATCGGCTATATCAGTTGGAAGCATTAAATTAGTTTTTGAGAACAGTTTTATTGTTTTGAACAATGTTTATTATGTCCCGGTTTTTGGGAAAAACCTTATTTCTGTAGCTCGTTTGGTTGAGCAAGGATATTCTTTAGGATTCAATAATGATGTTATTCAGATTCTTAAGAATGGTTTCATGATTACTTCTACAGTCATGATAAAAAATTTGTTCTACGTCAAATTGATTATTCCAACGATTTATGATACTGAGTTGAATGATGATTCAATTAGGGATAGTAAAAGGTTGAGGTTAGACCCAACAGATCAAACCTACAAATGGCATCTACGTCTTGGACATATTAGCCTTGACAGGATTAAAAGGTTAGTAAGAGACGGTCCCTTACAAACCTTAAGTGTAGGCTCACTACCTACATGTGAATCTTGCATTGAAGGAAAAATAACCAAGAGACCCTTTTCTGCAAAGGGTGATAGAGCTGATGAATGCCTAGAACTCATACATAGTGATGTATGTGGGCCATTCAATATCCAAGCAAGAGGAGGATATGAGTATTTTGTAACCTTCACTGATGACTATTCTCATTTTGGTCATATTTATCTAATGCGTCAAAAGTCTGAAACCTTTGAAAAGTTCAAAGAATTCAAGGCCTTGGTTGAAAAGCAATTAGACAAACATATCAAAACACTACGATCCGATCGTGGTGGTGAATACTTGTTGGGAGAGTTCGAAGACTTTTTTAAGGAAGAAGGTATATTTTCTCAACTGACTGTGCCAGGTACTCCTCAGCATAATGGCGTGTCAGAAAGAAGGAACCGAACTCTATTAGATATGGTTAGATCAATGATGAGTTACTCACCCCTTTTTGATTCCTTTTGGGGTATGCCTTGGAAACAGCTGCATATATTCTGAATCAAGTTCCATCTAAAGCAGTGCCTAGAACTCCATATGAAAGATGGAGTGGCAAGAAGTCATCTCTTGGCCACACAAGAATATGGGGTTGTCTAGTACATGTGCTTAGAAAGAAGACTGGCAAGCTAACCAATCGTTCAGAATTATGCCTGTTTGTAGGATATCCTAAAGGGACAAAAGGCTACACTTCTATAGTCCTACCGATCAGAAAACATTCGTTAGTATGAATGCTCATTTTCTGGAAGATGATTTTGTGAAGAATATGAAGCCTAGAAGCAGACTTGTACTTGAGGAATTGACCGGTGAAAATGTTCGTGTAGCATCTCCACGTTCTATTCCTGAACTGATAACAAATGAACCACAATAGGAACTAACACCAATAGAGCCTCGACGTAGTGGGAGGGTTGTGAGACAACCAGTTAGGTACATGTCTTATGGAGATGCATTGACTGCAGTCTCAGATTTAGACATTGATGAACCTATCTCGTACTCGCAGGCTACGGCAAGTTCTGAAGCAAACCTATGGCATGAAGCCATGAACGCCGAAATACAATCAATGTATAAGAATGGTGTATGGAATACTAGTATGTATTCCATATGTTCAGTTCTAAGAAGAAGATATTACAACCATTGTCTTAGTAAAGAACAATGGACTGTAATAAGTTAAGACAAGTTTTTGGGAACTAGTTTGATATCCGAATCCTTAAAGTAATAGCAAGATATGTTATTAGTGTAACAACATAACATGTTAAGAACCCGAGGGTTAAAGTAAAGAAAAAAAAAGAAAAAAAATTTACCCGCATATGAACGTAAATTAAAGAGAAAATAGTCTAACAACAAATAATGGATTAGACTATAACGTAGCCTATTAGTAGTAGTATAAGGATGGCGACAGCGCCGCAAGGGCGCGAGTCGTCATACTCGTATTCATGTGTTTTATGAATATACTATTCATTAGAGAATCAATGGTTCTCAAGAATAAAGATGTAATTATATAGGTTAACAGATTTAACCTAGCTCTAATTATGAATTATTTATAGAGGATTGATTGATATGTAGTGACTATATCAAATGGAAACTTCAAGTTCTTAGAAGTAAATTATGTCTATAATTTTGAGAGTGTAATTCTAAGTTTTTAGTGTAGAATTAATTAATTAATTAATTAATTAAAGAGTTTAATTAATTATTATTTTTATTGGAGTTTAAAATTATAGGTCCATGAGTCCCCGCATCATCCTTGTATTATTTGCAAGACAAGATGAATTATCATATTTTTTTATTACTCAAATAAATAATATGATTTATGTACCTATGTCACACACTGTGGTGGGAGCACATGGAGCGCGTGACACAGGGAAAAATCTCTCTTGGATTTAGTTGCTTGCTCTCAAAGTAATCCGGTTTACTTGTTCGATGAGTTTTTCAATTAAATTCAAAAGGGAAAGTAAAGTGTGACTTTATTTGGAATTGAATTTGAGCTAAAATTAGAAACTGGAAAAAGTAAGAATTTTCTCTCTCATCTGCATGTGATATGCGCCACCCACTAGGAAATTCCCATGTGGTTGGCCAGCCCCTAGAGCTAATGTGTTGGGAATAGTAACCTAGAAGCATGAGATGTAATAGGATATTTATTATTTAATTAATAAAAGAGTTTATTCATTATTTTATGTGCATATATTTATGAATATTTTATGAATATCAAATAAAAATTCTGTGATTATTTATGTAACCTTAAACATTGTATATAAGTCTTATATACGAGAGGATAATATTTAAGGATAATAATAAAAAACGTTGTTCATAATGAATTTAATTAAAGTTTAGAATCTTTAATTAAAACATTATTAATACATGTCATTCCCATTTAGAATGGAACGGTGCTATCCGCACTGTAAATATGGTGAGATATTGAATGAGTGGATTTCGCATAATGGGATTGTGTGGAACAGGGACACAGACACAATATGAATTTCTAATAATTTCCGTTAAGCATAGAAATTCTAATTGAGTCTACCGATGGTCATATATAGAATGATCTTAATCCTGAGTTCTTAACAAACTCCTATTTATGGATTTATGTCTTTTGATTTACTCGGTACAGATTCTGAGATCTTAAATCCTATTTCTTGTATTTTGGAGACATGATGAAATAGGCAGCCGGGAATGTTATTATACGAGATGGAATCCATTCCATCTTGAGAAAGAAGTAGATAAATAATTCTTTTGAGTGTCAATTCGGTACTTGGATTAGTAAGAGCGCTCTGATTTATGATGTGTTTTATGAATCACTATCCATTAGAGAATCAATGGAACTCAAGGATAAAGATATAATTAGAGAGGTTAACGGATTCTATCTGACACTAATTATGAATTATTTATGGAGGGTTAATCTATATGCAATGACTATATCAAATGGACACTTCACAGTTTAAAAGTAATTAA